TGACTGACAAGGTCAACGAACGAGTGAATAATAACTTGAGAATAGTGGACTAATTAATTTGTCTAAAGGTTGGGATGAACCCTTTGGGCTCCAAATAAAAGTACATACACTACAGTCTGTATGTGAATGTATTAAAACATGGCCGCCATTCAGAAATGAAAATATTCAAAGAATACTAATATTCAATAATAAATACCTTCGAAGTATTAGTTGTGTATTTCGGGACTATCGAGTAAATAATGTTTTGATTAAGAATACGGTATTATGTAAATCAATTGATGAAGTAGAAAATCTAACTAGCTAGGGGTGGCCAAATCAAAACATAGCACAAATCCAAAAATTCACTTAGAAGTGGACTGAGTCATGTTGGTTGATGTAGGCTACCACCTGGTTGAGTTCCGTGAGACGAAAGTAACCAATGGTTAGAGACCTTGAATGATTTTGCTCAGGTGCACCCACATTCACTGTGTTCTCTGAAATTCTAATCTTCTGAATTCTTCATGACCTCTATCTTTCTCCTTTTAGATTCATTTCACTGGTTTATACTGCTCGAATCATATATATATACGATCGAGATTTGTACTGATCATTTCATTGTTTTGTGATAATGGTGTAACTTGAACTGATGTACGTACGTACTAAATCGTACTTTTGTATTTGATTAACTTAACTTAAAAATAATTGAATAGGGATTCATGATGTTTAGCATTAAAAGTAATTGGGAATGAATCGAAAACGTAGTATATGATACGGTAGTAGATGTTATGTCCCATGTTGTATATGTGAATTGATAACTACCACGAAGTGAATTATTATATCCCATTGCTTATGTTCAGTTAGAGTTCGCATTATTATAAAGCTTTAGTTGTTAATCATCATACACAAGGGGAAAAGCAAGATTCTCCGATGTAACACAAAATGCACCAACTAAATCACACATGACCGAGAAGTTTTGAACGATGTAAAAACCTTTACATATCTGGGCAGCCTCATCCATGAGCACGGTGGATCTGGTGCAGATGTGAAGACACGGATTAGCATAGCAAGGGCAGCATTTCCACAATCGAAGGACATATGGAACTCAAAAATAACTCCCAACCAACACCAAAGTCACAATTTTCAATACAAATGTCAAGACAATCCTACTGCGTCGGGCGGAAACTTGGAGGAGCATGTAAGCCACCATTCGTAAGATACGAGTATTTTTTTAACAATTGTCTACGCAAAGTATTTCGGATCCGTTGGCTAGACACCATTAGCCATAACCTACCGTGGGAAAGAACACAAACCAGATTCAAGTGGAGGTTAGGAAGAAGCACTGAATGTGGATATAACACAAATTTAAGAAAGCACCCAACTGTGTCACAAGACAAGCCCTCACTTGGAATCCTCAAGACCAACGAAAAAGAGGAAGACCAAGAAACACAGTGCGCTGAAAAATGGACACAAACATGGGAAGAATAGACAGCAATTGTAGAGAATAGATTGAACGATGCTGGTCGGTGGCCTATGCTCCACTAGGGGTAACAGGCGTAAGTTCAGTTGGTAATCTTTCTTCATAAGTGATATATTACTGAAATATTTTTTTTTCTATCAAAGTCAATGCGATGTTCTGTTTCTAATGAATGTAACCTTATTTTCAAGGTTTTTTCGAAAATGTAAACAATACTTGTTATCTTTTATCCTTACACTGAAACTGGAAATTTATATTTATCACCTAAACTACTCATAAGTAGCTTAACTAAGAAACTAAATATAATTTACTGTTCTATCGATGGACAAAGAAGGCATAGTCATTAAGTGTAGTGTGTGTGAATGAATCGATTTACTTTCACTTAAGAATATTGTGATTATCAACAGAACTGCAAGTAGTGTTTAGAATGACGTGCAAACTTACCGCTGAGAAAACTAATTTCGGCATAAAAAAATCACACTACGAAAGTAATGACTACTTAGGTAACAAACATTTACTGTAATGTCTTGATTATAAGGATGACATGGACTAATACTGTCGTATTTAAGAATATAAAACTTATTACAATGGGAAATCTTCTAAACCAATTTTCTTTAGGCCGTAATATAATTGCTTGAAAATATACTACAACAGACACTAATTTTAACTTATCTGATATTGCAAAAGCTGTCTACTATTTTAGTTGCCATAAATGCATCCTTGTGCTATTATAGACTGTACGTGCTCAATTCAGGAGGCATGCGACTGAGTTTTTCGAAACTTAAAACAATTAATCGTAAGCTATTTATAATCAGTATCTATACAGTTAGTTGTAACCACTCAAATTTGTGAGGCTACTTAATACATCGATTTCTACAAACTTCTACGACACCATTGAAATGCTTGTGACGAGTCCGTCTATATCCAAATCCAAAAGATTGCCCCGGAATTAATTCATGATAACACCCTGACTGACCAAGTCCTATCAAACCTAACGAGTTGATGTCTGGGGAAATCTCCACACCGATTCAGAGCTCGCTTAGTTTTCGCTAACTTGAATTACTTGCGTCATAAGCAAGATGTCAATGTGTCGAACGAAGGACGGGGATATTAAACGGCAGTCCATATGATTTCACTTCACAGACGTGAAAAGCGACCCTTGGTAGTAATTGAACGTACGTGCCACTGAAGCATCTATTGGGAAATACTAAAGCTAAACACTGGGTAAAGATGGCAAGTCGGTTGACGAGGCAGCAAACCATTATCCACACCAATTGTTGGGTAAGTTCAACTACCGTCTACAAAGACATGCGATATTTGCTGTTGTTGGAGTAAATTGGAAGAAACCTATGGAGTTAAACTAAGAGAATAAGATCAGTCCACGGAGTCATTGACTATGAAAATGAGGCATGTTACTATATGCTGACGACACAGTTAGGATCCTCTGGACTATCGACATTAATCACTGAGTAACATACATTAGAACTAGTCAGTGGAGCAGATAGACATATTGAGTTTTATGGGTAGCATATGCTTCTTATTCCTCAAGTTCGCTTATCCTTAAGTATTTATGCATCCCTATTATCAACTTGGAAACTAGCTGCCCTTAGACTGATGAACATCTATCAAGCCTTTACGCTGCGGATAACTAGAAATATATAAGCTATAAACAGTAGTGGTAAGTCGACTAATAAGGCTGTAAGGTGTTGTTAATCTGTGGAGCTGAAAATTGTTACCAGTTCTTGGCACCGCTTATCCCAAATCACAATACTAACACAAAGGCATGTTGGAGGTAAGTGACTAATTCAGTAAATGATACTATATCTTGAAACCCTTAACTACCCATTTATATCAAATGATATGTAAATAAACGTTCTTGCTGGTCAGTCATAGGTAACATGAACTTATGTACGAGGTTCTACGTTGTAACTAATTGATAACGCTGGTTAGGTTAATTAAAATGATTAGTCATAGTCAGTCAGATGCAACGTAGAACTTCGTACGTAAGTACATCAGTTCATGTCGCCATACCACATTATTAGCACAGAGATGTAATTGTCAATTGAAATCCAGTAGTAGAAGAGGTAGTAAAGGTATTAGAAGTAATCGGAGAGATTAGGATTAGAAGATATTATTCAAGAAGTATGATTCAATGAGGAAAGTTTAGAAAGTCAAAACTAGAGGGGTTGGAGAATCCAGACGATTAGGATTTGAGAGAACACCAAGAATAAATGCACTGCCGCCATTGCGAACGATTTTGAGCCATGTCATTCAAGGTCTCTAACCATCGATTATTATCATCTCGAGGACCCCAACCAGGTAGTCGACAATTACCGACATGGCTAAGTCCACTCGTCAATGACTTCATGGATTTCTGCCATGTTTTGGTTTCGCCGCCCCTAACTTTCTTCCAACCTACTCCTACACTACAAAACAAAGCTCGTCGATGCAGGCAGTCGGTGGTTAGGCATACGCAGCACATGTCCCAACCACCTCAACTGATGAAGTTTCAGCACCTCCTCTATTGATCTGCCATTCTTACCTAGCACCCGTTTCCTAACAACAACATAACATAAACTGACTTTTACGAAAAATTTTTACAAGTGATAAGCAAAAACCTTTATATATAGTACCTACCTTCCATTATGACCGTCACTTTGAAAAGTTTTGGGAAGTACTCTGTCGGCTTATTTAAAACACGGACAAGACAGAGTACAAGACTAAAAGCGGAATATTTTGATGAAGATTCCACTAGAACATATATTATCTCTCTTATCTCCACGACTCACCCTTCTCACATTCCTTTATCACCCTGCACTGGTAATGCAAACGATTCGAGTTCACGAAACATTATTTCTGGTTTCCTAAAGAAACCCATTCTAAACTACAAGTCGGTGTTTTTTTATGTCCGAACACTGTGTCAAATGAGGCAACAGGCTTCCTTAACTAGGACTTGAAAATCTCGCGCCATCGATGTATGCTGCGTCACAGAAGCGCGCACACAAGATCCGAGTAGCGTCATTCACTTGACTTCACAATAAAGAACCAGCTAGATGTACTCTGAGGCTGCCTCGCGGGGTCTCGCTGGAATAGGTATAGCATTCAGTTGTAGGGCAGAACTAGCTCTCCTACAGTGGATCCCAGAAGATAGTCGATTGTGCGCCTTCCAACTAAGCACTCGGAAAGATAGGGACACTCGTGGTCGCCTCTTCGTCATATCTGCCTATGCCCCCACTGACTGAAGTTCAGACGAGGTGAAAGATGAGTTCTACAGATTAGTCATAAGCGACGTACAACTTGGTAATCAAGTGCACTGGCAAGTTGTCGCATACGAATGGTAATCTATGATTGAATACATAGCTCAGAAATTGATTGTAATTGTGTTTAATCCTCATCTTTGCATTAAGGTTTAATGTTACTGCATAACCTTTATTCATTTGCACTTTTGTGCCTACGAAAGCTAGATGATTAAGTTTATGCACTTTTTTTAAACAAATAAACAGTACCATAAGAATAGATAGGAACGTAAACAGAGAAAACGATACATCTAACAGAACTTTTAATATACCAGAATAAAATTATAGTTTGTTAAAAGCAGCAACATCAACTGATTGTACGAGATCTTCAAACTTCATAATTTCTTCTTCTAACAAATCAGTTCCGACCTGAAAAAAAAGCCAAAAACAGTGAGCAATATTCTAGTTACAGATTCAGGAATTCTAATGAAAATCTAAATGAATTTAACGCTTAATTGAATGATCTTTTGACAAAATTTTAATCGAGAATACATACCTTATCGTCTTCAACAACACAGCCAATCTGAAGCTTTTTGATACCATAGGCCAAAGGGACATATTTGGATGCACCCCACAACAGGCCATCAAGTTGAATGCTGCGGACAGCTGCTTCAATATCTTCCATTTTAGTTTCATCATCCCATGGTTTAACATCAAGAACAATGGTGGATTTGGCCACAGGACCTTGCTTTTGTGCTTTTTTCGCTGAATAGGAAGCTAGGCGTTCAGCTTTTACTTTTTCATACTCTGCATCCTCTTCATCATCAGAGTCGAACAAATCATCTACCAGGTCATTTGAGGCAGCTGAGGAACATTTGACTATTAGAACAAGAAATAAAATTTCAACTTTTTTTAATTACCTGGTTCAGGATTACCACTTTCCTGTGGATTAGGAAACTTTTTTCTTTCCTCACCGAAAGAGTCAATATGTTTATACCAGCGTGAAATATTGCCAAAATTTGATGATGGCAACTTGCCAAGAGCCATATAGGTTGAAACATCCGCCTGAGAAGGTTGGAATCTACAAAATGATTATAAAAATTTGTTATAGGATATGTCAGTAGTAGTACAGTAAATTAGTTATGATAGCAGGATTTCAATAAATGCATTCTACATCCGTCATCGGTCATGATACCATAATGTAGTTTAGCCAAGCGGTTTAGTGAATTTTACTGCATAATACGTGTCATAGTTTTAGTTTCAGTTGGTTTGCTCTCTAATAATGGGTTAAAAGGATGATATGATTTAGCAACGAGGTAGAAAATGAAGATGAAAGCCTAATGCACGATGCCATACTGTGCATGTACAGAATCTCACAGTGAGAAGAGGCAGATTTAAGACCAAAGCTTGCTTGTTAAGCGTTCCATGCAAGAGTTAGAGATTAAAAATTTAATAATAGGCATGGCTGTATACACTTAGGGTGCTTATTTATACTACTTAGGATTACGCACTGCAAACCGTCAAATTTATATCTATTTAGGAGTATGGAGGATAGTTAAGTTCATCAAGCGAAATGCGAGCTTTTACTTAATTCATGAGTGCCAAAGCTTATTTAACCATATATACTAAAAATGAATTCAACATACTACTGAAATCAACATATTTTGTATTAAAAAGATACCGAGACCAGTCAAACATACGACAGTATGTACACTAACCCCGAAATATAACTCCTGGTAAGTAGAAAACCATCCAGCTTCTTCAAGGCAACGTCAGTTTTCAAATCACCGAAATCAATCATCGTGTCGTGTGCAGATTTACGTCTAGCGCTGGATGGTAGTAAACTTGGCAAGGGCAAAATAATTGATAGATAGAAACAATACTGTCCTAAAAACATGTTATTAACTTTTGTTTTGAATTACTTCTCCTATATTAAGGTCAGAATTTATAACTAAATACACAGAAAACATGTTTCAAATGTGAGATATGTGTCTAAACCTGGAACCCTTAATTCACATGGTTCGAATGGTTGTGAACAGAATAAAGTTTTTGCTAAACGGGCTTCCTTATCTAGTAGCAGTGGATAGCCAACGCCTCCAGGTAGGAACATAGGTTTTTGCGACGAAAAACAGATGAATACCTCTATCGGTGACAAATTGCAGACTTTGAATAACTGTTGAAAGTTGAAGTTATCTCCGCAGTCCATTTTGATGCTTCGGGACTCTAGTTTCTGGACATGAGTCCCTAAGTTTTGTATTCAGACTGAACTTAAGTAAGTGTTTTTTGGGATGGTCATGGGTGTTAATAATGCCATGAGGCATTAGAAAGTCACCTCTGAGAAGCACATACACTAACTGGTGTGGATCCGGTGTCTTCAAGTGCTCTTCATAAGGTTTGAACATGGATCCAGAAACCAGTTTCGTGGTTCACCATTAGATATGCTACACCGTATTCTTGTCATTTTTGAGTGAAAGAGGAAATTCTATATTTCCACGCTCTTCATTTGGCTGAATGAAGTCGTTAAAGAATAGGTGGAACGCTCTAATATATAGTTGAACAATAGTGCGCTTTAACGATGTAAGTGCAAGGTTTACTTGAAAAGCATTTTCCTTAAAAACAGCGTGAGAACTTAGATCACAGGGTACCAACTAAGGACACTTCTAGAATAGAGTTGCTCCAGATGTATATCTAGTTCGCAGCAAGTTTCAGATGGATTACTTCACATTTCGATATGTTAAAATTGAAGAGACAAGAGATGTCGCTAAGATTGAAGCCACTTATTTCAGTAAAGCGAAGTGAACCAGGTTTGGACCGGCAGAAGTGTCGTCGTTCAGATGATGCAATTTCTTGTACTGCAGACCAGCAGGAATATTCACTTTTGAGATTCCGCTTTGGTCGCAGGTGAAGCTTTCAGTACTGCAGGTTGTATGTGACGGATGAGGTGTTTGAAAGTAGCATTCTGACAGAACCTGGTAGTGTGTACTACGTGCCAAGCCCATCTGGATTGTCCCGGCTTCTGGACAAACTAATTAATCATTCGATTAAAATCTTGATTGCTTCCATTTGAATGCGTATGTGCATTGCGTACTTCGCTTATCACATCTCTAGCTAATTTTTGTCTGGTTTTAAATACTTAGTCATGCCTCATCACATGGAGTTGGCTCACTCTCTTCACATTACTTTGCATCGCTTTAGATTTAAGCTTCACATGCTTTGATCCGTCTGCTTGAATGAATTCGTGAAACAAATTCCAGCACATAATCGTTTTGGACTTTCAACAACCGCGGTTGCTTAACGGGCTCCGCATAAGAATAATATATACCGATTAATTAAAGGGTCTGTTTCATAGTATGTTGAATTGTTCGTTTAAACTGGAATCAGATCCTGAGCTATCAAAAGCTCTACATCATTACTGTGGTTGTTGGTTGGGCCATTGGGACCTAATAACTGGGAAACTCCAGGTTCAGCTTGTTGAAGAGAGTTTGTAGGACAGAATAAGCCCCTCAAATCTGATACAAATTTTTCGATTAGCTTGATCTGATATTGGAGAGCATCTTTTCTTACCACCTTTGCACACCGCCTTCTTATTAGTATGAACTACAGATGCTACCATCACTAGTTCTTTTAAGTATTACCCATCAGTACCTTTTTAGTTTTAGTTTTCGAAGAGTGAAAATACTTATGACTGTGTGTTGCTTGTAACTTCTTGGGACAGTATGTAGGACACACTGGTTTGTAGAATGTAAGATTTTGTTCAATGGGAAATTCCAGTGGGCATCTACATCCAGTGGGCTCCCCAGTCCGCGTGCCACAGATTATCTTTTGAAGATGACAGAGTGTTCGCTTACCCCGGGAAATCAGCTCGGTTTTTACTTAAGAATGCTGTCCATGCATGATATCTGACTCTTTCTCCACTGTTTGATTTCCTTGAGTGCCTATGTGCGCTGTGTAGTGTATGTAGAATCCTTTTTGAATGTTTTGTGTTTTGGAAAATCCCTCCATGTTTACGTATTTTTGCTATGACATGACGGACTTTTTCTGTTGACATTTTTGGTATTTTATTTGATTCCAATTTGAGATTTTATCATTGTATATTGTTATTCTTTCTATATTTTGTACTTATATTGAAGTTTTTGTGTTTGCTTCTGAACTGTACATATGTTGTTTAAATTTGATCTTTAATATGGCTACAGCCATATTTGGATTGATGCAGTGGCCGCTGGACTTAGCGTCACTTAGCTATCACTGTTTCTGATACTCTTCGGAGTAATTGTATCCTGGAAGAAGCACTATTTCCAGACGCTTTCTCCTAGAATTTTGCCGTTTTTGAATTGGTTGGGACCCGGAACTGGGAAAAGCGTACAGGAGTGCCTCTATTGGAACCCATTGGAACGGCCACTGTAGAAATTCATTTACAGTCTGGAAATATTTCTATAAACGATTATATCCTGGAAATATTCCTAGGAACGTGTATATTTTGGAATTATCTATTACCTTTTGATAAGACGAACAATTACAGTTGGATTATTAAGAATTATAAAGAAACATTTGGAATTTTAATCGTTTATCACACTAGACTTTCTTGAAGGAAGAAATTTGGATTATTTATCATATTCCGGAACTGAACTGTGGAATTACTATATTTTGTATTTGTTACCTTCCTTATACCGAACTTCATTTATGATGTCAAGCAGAAAGAAATCACACATGAGGAGGGTGGAAGAGCTCGACGGATCCCAGAACTCTAAGCAAGTCGTTAATGATGAATTTTTTATGGGTAACCCACATGTTATGTCTGATACTTATTATTGTAAGTCACCTTTGGCAGGCATTAAGGAACCAGGATTAAGTGAGAGTTCTAAGGTACCAGAGACCGATCAGATACTTAAGACACCGATAGTAGGTTTAGAACTACCTAAGGTCGAACTTTCATATTTTGATGGAAAGTCTCGCGACTATTTTAGGTTCATGCGTCAAATCGAAACGTTTATAGAACCCAGAATAAAAGATGACCAAGTTCGTTTATTGTATTTAATTCATTATTGTAAGGGAAAAGCAAAAAATGCGATTGAAGGCTGTATTATTATGGATCCACAAGCAGGATATAAGAGAGCTAAGGCCATTCTAAAACAGCTCTTTGGACAGTCGCATGTAATAGCCCGAGAAACCTTAGAGGACTTATTTAGAACTGGGAACGCAGATTTTAATGATCCTGAATTATTGACGAATTTGGCTATTAAAATGCAGAATGCTGCTTTAACCTTAGAACAGCTAAATTGTACAACGGAACTTAATTCCTTGGTTACTTTAGAACGAATAGTCAGGCTCTTACCTCGTCGAATGCAAGCCCAGTGGGCAGAGCTAGGAATCAAGTGGGACGAAGAGGAGAGAGAGCCTAATTTCAATAAATTGACGGAATTTATTATGTCTCGTGCTAAGATAGCTAGTAGTAGGTTCGGAAGATTAGCTTATCGGGCTAAAACAGGACATAATACGGAAGCTACTAGTGGTCTGCGTGCGAGACATGAGGATTCTTCGTTTCTACCTAACGCACGCCCGGAAGATAAGAGGGTTGTCAATTATATCACGAAAGTATACGCTGATGAAGGACGAGTATGTGGCCGTAACGATGTAAAACCTCTTGATGCGTATCCTAGTAAGAAGCCGGTTGGTGTAACAGATAAGATGGCTTTTCTAAGTATGGAAAAGAAAGAAAAAGGTGAAAAGTGTAGGCATCAAGATGGATCCGAAGTGTGTGATGATAAAAGCCTCTTAGCTGCTCGAAAGGCCTGGAACGGTTATTTGGATTCGAGTAATCAGAGGTTAATGAGTTCAGTAAATATGAAGAAGGCCCAGGCAGGATTGTCTGAACGGAATAAAGCCTATTTTCGGAACCCTTCATTTAGGGTAAATTATATAACTGGACCTAGAGTAGATTCTAGGATAAGTGATGGTGGTACTGTAAAGGCTAAGAAGCCTAGGAGACAACATGATGCTACTATTATTAAGAAGCCTAAACCTCATTCTCTTTCGGATGCTATGACTAG